AATTTACTAGCGTTTAAGCATTAATTTTGAACAAACCTTGTGCTTATGGAAACACTAGTTTATGAATACATGTACCAGTATTAACACATACTTATGTCTATACATGCAGACTGATTATATATGTATTTATATATAAAGGAATGTTATTCTAGTGCACGTCTGTAATATATGATCACCACCTGAACTCTGCTTACCCAGGTGCAGTTATATATAACACTTGCCAGTAAATGTCTAGCAAATATTACAAGGACCATGGCGTTTGTGGGGAAATTGGCTCCTCTGGTGTCCTTGCCTTGGTCTAGCTGGTCTTGAGGATGTTACTGGTTGAGATGAGCCCAGGAGTGTTTGGAGACACTGGAGAAATCATGTCTCAATGGTCTCAAGTAATCTATGAAGGTTTACGATGACCTCTGACCTCTTCAGGCTACTTCAGCTATGCAGGTGACAGAGAGAACCCTTGTATCAGACGAGTTAAACTGCCTGTTGTGCAGTAATAGTTTAACTTGTCCATGTGCTAAATTAGGGAAACCGGAGGTATGAAGACAGCGCACCATATGTTGAGTTAGATCTTTGGGTGAAAAAGAGGTAGCCCTAGGCCTGGAATTTCTCCTGCTCCAGGATGTTGTATTCACACACATTTTGATTTTCATGAAGAGATTGCATCTGTCCAGGTAGTGGATGGAAGCACAAAGCAATAGCACCTTACTAAGTTCCAGGAATTCAAGCAAGGCACCAGTACCATTCACAAGATACTGTAAGTATTGTTAACGCTAAGTACTGTTCAAACTATGATACTCATCTCAGATCAAAAGCTGTTTAAAAACGAAAAGTTAAAAAGAATCCCACCCAGCCAGAAATGTGGCAAATGGCTAAGTCACCTCTCTTTATCATCAGAGTGTTTCAAATTCACCAGTACTGAAGTGAATTGCAGTTCAGTAAGTTCTTCAATAATGCCTCTGACTCTTCATGATAACCTTGAGGAAGTCACTTGAGAATGAAGCCATTGAGATAACTGTTTGTGGAATGATTTGTAGAATTGGACAGGCTCCTACCAGTCGAGAAGTATTGTTAATTGGTTCCCTGTTTCAAAGGTCCGTTGGTCTACATCAGTTAGAATTTGACATGTCATACTCTTTGTCCAGAGACTGCCTTTCCAAAGTGATCACACAGCTACACGTCCACAGAAAAATTGAGAGCTGGGGCTAAAGAGTATCATTGAAATTTGTTTTTCAAGTGTGCAGTTGGGAAGAAGAAAAGGGTCCATTTTCCATATTCCATTCAGCTATGGTAGGTAATCTTTTTAAGTGTTTGGAAAGGTTGAAATCGATTCTGTAAGTCTTTATTAAGGGAACTGTCTACATCCTTGATTTAGGGAAGAAAATGCAAAATGGTCTACCTTTGGGATTAAACCATTGTAGTTGGGCAGTATCAAAAAATACAAATGAAAAATAAAATCTGACTGTATTTCTTACATACATAGTTAATTCATGTTTTAAACATAAAAATATGAATTCAAAAGAGTGAATAGGCACAAAGCAATTATCTGGAAATTTCCGGACATTGCAATTAATAGTGTGTAACTTTCTAGAGTGATTTTTCCAATGGCTTTCCTTCAAGTTTTACTAATACTTGTCTGAAGTCTTGAAATGTTAAAAATGAGAAAAGCTTACATTTGAAATTTTAAAAAGATCAAGAAACAAACATTCTCCCAATATATAATTGAGTAAATAACACATTACAAGATGTATTTTTCTTTAAAACATGTGTATTTCTACATACATGCAAGATATAAAGATTGTACTTTTAATTTTTATGCTACTAGAATGGTATTTCCAGTTCTCCTTAACATAAAATCAAGCTTTCTGAAGCATATTGAATGACATGACAAGGTTTATGTTGCTTAGGACCTGAGAAAACTATGATAGAATGAAGCAAGTCAAGTTTAAAGGATATTTTACATGTATTCTGTAAGTAAACATTCATATCGCTAAATCCTGACAACCTGTCCACATATGCCCACACATAGACAATAAATAGTAAATATAAAAGAGCAGAATGCAAGGGATCAAACATCAGTGAACTATCTATTAAACTTCTCAAGATTATCATTACATTAATTCTATATATTGGCTCCATTTAGTGATTCTTTTCCAGATATATGTTATTCTTATGATTTGCTTAAGATTAGAAGAATGCTATGAAATTAAATCATACAAAACTATGATATTACCCATGTTTAGTTAATCCTCTTAGGAAGTGCCCAGTGTACAATATTGAGTCAAGAATTCAGGGCATCAAAGTCCATGTATAGTTTGACCACGATGGATCTGAAGAAAAGAAATGGAAATGTTTACTCTGTGTGTGCGTTAGCGTTGTACTCTGGAATATCGAGAATATGTTGATTAGACGTAGGTTAATCTATTTTTTTTTTCCTTTTTTCTCATTAGACTCTCACTTTGTTTCCCAGGCTAGAGTGCCATGGCTTCAGCTTAGCTCACAGCAACCTCAAATTGCTGGACTCAAGCAGTCCTTTTGCCTCAGCCTCCTGGGTAGCTGAGACTATAGGCATGTACCACCATGCCCGGATAACCTTTTTTCCTACATATTTTTAGTTTGTCTTGCCAATTTGTTTCTAGTTTTTTAGTAGAGAGGGCTTCTTGCTGTTGCTATTGCGCAGGTTGGTTTGTACTCCTGCCTTGGCCTCCCAGAGTGCTAGAATTACAGTCCTGAGCCACCTCACCCTTCCTAGACTAAATATATTTAGCTAAATATCATTAGTTATTCTGAACAGTTTTATATCACTTTTATCGTATTTTAACCAATATATTCATTAAGCTGTTAATATTGGACTCTTGGGGAAAGTGGAATTTGAGATAAAATGTTTCCATTTTTTTGATACATTGTGTATTCTTGATAGATTTTTCAAGAAGCTGATAATATGTTTGTAATTTGAGAAACAGCCAAGAACAAATAGGTTTGGAAGAAATTACTTGTGAAAACTTGATCTGTTGGCTGTTTGAGACCTAATATATTTATATCTCTAGTTGATCACAGAAAAGAGGTGGATTGAAGTCGCCCATGATTTTTTAAAACCCTTGTTGCTTGATTGAGTATAACTTGTGAACTCAGTGTACTTGTTTATACATGGCTAATGTGTCTGGTTATTTTGTAAACAGGTATACTTTAATTCTAAGAAATGTAAAAATATATATAGAGGCAACATCAAAAATATTGCATATTCTAAGGAGTAGTTAATGATTTTTTCAGAGACCTCAAAGTATAATGTGACGAACGCATGTCTGAACACTTGAGGTAAAAGGTAACTGGGACTTTATGTTAAAAATATGTACAGATAGGGAAGATAATACGAATATATAGGCCGGGCATGGTGGCTCACGCCTGTAATCCTAGCACTCTGGGAGGCCGAGGCGGGTGGATATCTCCAGGTGAGGAGTTGGAAACCAGCCTGAGCAAGAGCGAGATCCCGTTTCTAATACAAATACAAATAAATTAATTGGCCAAATAATATATGTAGAATAAATTAGCCCGGCATGGTGGTGCATGCTTGTAGTCCCAGCTACTTGGGAAGCTGAGGCAGTAGGATCCCTTCAGCCCAGAAGTTTTAGGTTGCTGTGAGGTAGGTGACGCCATGGCACTCACTCTAGCCTGGGGAAGAAAGCAAGACTCTGTCTTGAACGAAAAAAAAGAAAGAAGAATTTATATATTGCAAAGAATTTTACAAGTTATTTCTTCTAGATTTGATATATTTTATATATTGCAAAGAATTTTACAAGTTATTTCTTCTAGTTATTTCTTCGAGATTTTAATTTTTGGCTTTATTGTTTTTTAAATTGTGAAAATCAATAAATTTTAATTATATATAAATAAATTATATATAATTATATATAAATTATATATAAATAAAATTTAATAAATTTTAGGAATTAAAATTCTTAAAATGTTAAAAGGTTTACAACAGCAAGTGTTACTTTTGTGATTCCTTTGAAGAGAAACTCCTTTCTAGAATATAGTAGAGAGAAATTTCCAACTAGGGAAAATATATTTTGACATGGGAGCATGCAATTTACATAAGGTGGTACAGAAGACTTTGTTTAAAAGTACAGCCAGTATGGGTCAAAATGTAATTAAAGTGAAATAAATGTGCACATACAGGTATATACAATGTATTGTATATTAAATATACTAGATCAAAATATATAATAAATGGGGAATTAAAAAGCATTTTTCATGATTTAGTGAAAATGAACACTTAAAAATTTTGTATAATACAGTCAAATTGCCCAAATTCAGGCGTGACAGTTTCTTAGGCAAACTATAATGTACAAATATCCAATTTTAATATTTATAATTTTATATATTAAATTTAATATAAATCCATTGTTGTGTATGGACACAAATATAACATTTTGTGTGGATTGAAAGGAGTGGAAGGATGTAATCCAAAATGTTATCAGTGGTCTTAATAGTTTTTATGACAGTGCTTTACTCTTTGGCAGTGTGTGGTTATTTCCAAAGACTTGGCAAACATTCTGTCCTAGTTACAAATGAAAAAATGGTTTTGAGGCTTATTTCTTAAGAGATAAATGATAATACAAACCCTCTCTCCAACCAACCCACCAAACACCCAGTAGTCATACGACGTAATCGAAGGTACTTTTATGACATGAGAAAATACTTGTCTTTTAAAGGTAAATGAAATAACAAGAAATAACTCTTGAGTATCCTCTGATTGGAATTGTATATCCTGCCATGTAGCGCACTGTATGACATGTATGGTGATGAGAACCCCTCTGAGTGCTTCTCTTAAGACTCTAGCCATGGCTATCAACAATTCAACACTTATAGCCTAGGTCTTTATGCAGAAAATAGGGAATTCATTGGGAACCTGGGAGATGAATGAGCCAGGCAAGGACATGTGGATTGTTATTTAGTGATGTCCTCCAAGCCTTGAGTTTTCAGCATTTTCTTTTTGTGTTTAGTCCTAGATTCTTGAGACTTGCACCCCAGAAGCAGACAACTTGACAACCTGGGTAAATGCTGGAAATGTAATGCTGAATGAACAAGAACAAAAATGGTAAGGCAAGGCCTTTTGGAAATTTAATTTTTAAATAAATTATAGGCCTGTGAATAGTGGTGGAATTAGGGGTCAGTTAAGTTTTAGATGGAAACCAAGTGCAAAAGTGCAGCAGCCTGATCATATTTCCTGAAGCTGGGCAAAATGGAAGGCAACCATATTTCCTGGCACTTGTATGACTTGATGGCTTTTTTTCCAGACAGAAGGGGCGGGGGAAGAGGGGCTAGGGCGAAGCACTTGTTATTAGATTTGGAGCTCTACTGCCATCGTGCGGAAATAGTTTTCAAACACTGTATGCCATATTGCTTCATTCCTGTCAGGACTTTCGGTTTAGAATGGTTTGTTCACTTCAGAGGGTGAGTAGGCCCTGGCCTGGGACTTGGCCTCTCTGGCTTCTCTTGAGTAATTCTGGGAGCTCTGGGTACAGGATTAATGCTGGTATAACAAAGGCGATGTCCAGGTATCTGCGATTGTTATTGAGGGGAACAATGGAGTACAAGTATAGGAAGTTGATGTTGGGTGGGGATTTGGTTGAGGACACCTCCCAGAGCCCAGGGCAGGACCTGTGGCCCCTCCTCACCTGTCCAAGTACCTCAGAGTATGGTGCGGGCCAGTTGACCTTGTTCTGGAGCGATAGAATTCGGTCTTGTGGTAGCAGCATCACAGTGCACAAGACAGGTTATTTGGAGGTGATAGAACAGCACGTGTATTTTCTGGAGGATTTTGTACACAACAAAAGTCTGGACCCCATTACCTTGAGTAGGGGGAACAAGGAAGAAGCATTGGTGGCCACCCTAGTAAGCAAGAAAAGCCATACCATGTATTGGTGCAGCAGAGGCAGGCACAAAGGAGGCAAACAATATGAGGAAGGCCAGAAGGGACTTTCTGGGTCCAAAGGCGGTAAAGAGAGTGACTTGTATCTGCTTTCTCCTACCTAAGACAAAGACTCTATTCCAGTCTCAGTTCTCTTGGTGAGGTTCGAGGAGGAGGGTGAGGGGTGCTTATCTCTCAGTTGTTCTCCCAGAGGATGCTGAGGTCCTTGAAGACTAGCAGTGCTCCTCATACTTAACAATTGTTCTCCTCTCTAAGCGCTGTATAAGATTTCTATGTTAAGATACCTAGTACGCCTGACATGATGGCCATTGTTTTGGTGCCAAATATTCTCAAATCTGTGCTTCTTGTTCCCAACTTGGGGAAGGAATATCTAGGATT